CCCTGTCTCAAAGAAAAAGAAAAAAAAAAAAAAAAAAAAAAAAAAAAAAAAAAAAAAAAAGATAGAATTGACATATAATTCAGCAATTCCACTTCAGGATATATATATATATATATATATATATATATATATATATATATATATATATATACCCACCCACCCCCCAAAAAATGAAAGCAAATTTCACTCAAGTTCACAGCAACATTAATAGCAACAGGTTAAAGGTTGCAGCAGCTACCAAGTGTTCACTGACAGATGAATGGTTAAACAAAATGTTACACATATACATACAACAGAATATTATTTGGGAGGCAAAGGCAGATGGATCTTTGTGAGTTTGAGGCCAGCCTGGTCTATAAAGCAAGGTCCAGGACAGGCTCCAAAGCTACACAAAGAAACCTTGTCTTAGGGAGGGGTGGGTCATGATTCTAGGCAAGTGGTGTGGCACTTGTCTAGCATATGTGAGGCCCTAGATTCCATCCCAAGCACTGGGAGGAAAATCCTTTTAAAAACTAAAACGTTTGATTTGAAAGAATTAACCCATGTAGCAGAATCAACTCAAGCTAAACCTTAGTAACAGCATCCACTGCTTCATACCGACCACTGACCACCTTCTGATCTGTGCTTTGCCTTTCTTTCTATTTTTACCTCCACTATTGCACTCTGTAACAAGTCTGATACCATTGTATCAAACCCCCATACCACTATTAGAGTGGTCACTATAGCAAAATATATGGAGTGCTTATTTTGTGTCAGGCAAATTTTTTAGGCTCAGAGGATATAGTCATAGAATCAAAAATATCTTAGGGAATTCAATGTGGTTCCTGAGAGATGAAAAAATAAAACCATTCAATTTCAGACAGTAAAAATACTATGAAATGAAAGCAAGGGGGTTAAAAAGAAAGCTATTACAGACAAAAGTCAGAGGACGCATTGAGGGTAAATGCCATTTAACAGGGCAATAGTTCCCAAACTCTGTTTCAAAAATGTTGTACTGGAAAAATTATGTGATATACATCTAGAGGCTGTATCTACAACTAGCAAATATTCCATAATATACAACAAAGTGATTTTTATGTAGGAAAATATAAAATGAAGAATGAGACCAAACTGAAAACAAAATGAATTTTTACTTCCTTTGGCAGAATATCATTGTGTGTTAATACTATGTAACCAATGCACCTCTCTTTGGCTGATACTTAGGGAAAAAACCCTTTTTTGATCTTGGCCTCATACATTCCAAATAACAATTATGCTCCTGCCATTCCCTTCAATTTGGTGGCTTTCTACAGTTAGACTAGAACCAGGCATTACATCGTGGCAACGAATGACTTTAAACACTTAGGGCTTCTCCAAGGGGCTGTTCCTTTCCAAAGGAAATCAAGCAGTTTGGTGGAGATCTTGCCTCTACTCAGATTGCTACCCACTAAATCTGTTATTGACCTACCAAGGTCCTTTCTACTTATACAGCTCACTTAAAAACCAATTCTAGACTATCAACATAATTATGATTTCTCTAAAAAGTGACATTTCTGTCACACTCCTTTGGTCTTTAAACACCCGACACTTATTGTGTTATTTCTTAAACACTATACATTTGGAATATCTCTTAGGTTTTTTGAGAGCAAACACTCATTACTTAGGCTTAACATGCAAGCCTAAGGAGGAGCTACATCTTGAATGAGGAAGATAAGTGAAAATAATAAAGTCTTACTTGGTGTTTGGATACTAAAATGTGATGGTTTAATAAGAAATCGTAACAATTGTGAAGTAACACCAGCTGGCTATATTCAAAATCTAGTTGTGACACTAGTAACAGGACTCTCAAAGATGTTATTTAGCTCTCTGGGATCTAGATTTTCCATTTGCAAAATAATGAGAGTATAACATACCTTAAAACTTGAAGTAAAAAACTGAGTTAATGGGGAAAAATGTGGTGACCCATGCTATAAATTCAGCACTAAAGAGGCGGACAGGGAGGATCCTGTGAGTTAAAGACTGGGCTGTGTAGTGAGTTCTAGACCAACATGGTCTAAAGAGTGAGACTCTGTCCCAAATTCAATAAATAAAAAACAAAGTAATTTACACTTAATGAAGCAACATGGTAATATGGTGCTCAACATAAATCTACAGTCATGTTTACCTCTAGAAACCAATCTCTCCATTGGTAAACTGACAATATCAGATTCACATTTAAGTGTTAGACAGCATTCAAGATATCAAGACCACTGAGCAGAAAGTGGAATGAGTTTCATAACAGAGATACAATAACAGTTTGGTATCTACTTTACCTAATGATTTGTTTTGAGAACATCTTATACACTATTTAGCCAGTTCTTTTAATGGTTTAATGAGAAATTGTAACAGTAGTAAACAGCTATATTCTAATTTTGTCACCTTCTTTAATTTAATGAAAAGATATACAAAAAAAAAAATATCCCACCAATTTCATCACATTCCAAACCTAGAAAAATGTGTTGGGTGAAGAGTTATTTTAGAAGCACTCCTTTTCTATCAGTTTTAGTGAAACTAAGAACAACCTACAAGTATGAAACTGATAGAAACAATTTGAAGTGTATTCCCCCATGACTCAAATTATATTATCACAATCTAAAATTACAGTGAATGAATTGTATTATAAACGTTAAGTCAAAATGTATCACACCTCTGCTTGGGCAGCCCTTATTTCGTACAGTGAAGGTGTAACCTACAAAATAGTCTACAAGGCCCTGGTTGTTATGTTTTCCTCTCTTTTTTGCTGGCCTTATCTCCTATAATTCCCTCATTTGCTAAATGTTACAAACACACTGTTCCTTTAACAGGACCAGCTTTGTCCTCTTTTAAGGCCATGGGTAGACACCCTCACCATTTTCTAGCCTGCTTAAATATCATTAGTGTGCCTGAATGGGCTTCCCTGATCACTCTAGAGCAAACTGCAGTTCCTCACAAGCCTCTTTTGCAGGTACAGATTATTCTGTAACATACACTGCAACATAACTTTGTCTCTTATTCCTCATTAGAAAGTTTCATGAGGGGACAGGTGAAATGGTTGGTGGGTAAAAGTGCCTGACACCAAGCCTAATCTGAGTTCCATCCTCAAGGAAAAGGAAAAAACCCGACCCCCACAGGCTGACCTCTGACCTCTACAGGAGGGCACTTACGGTACACACACAAATAAATACGTGTAAAAATGTATTTAAAGAAAATTTCACGAGGACAGTGGTCAATGCAAGAGCGAACAGTCACAGAGAAAACAGTTATTTTTTTTAAAAAAATGCATCACATCAGGCCATGTAATTCTTCTAAGTAAAGCAAAATATTTTCACCCATAACAGGATTGGGCTCTACCAAGGTTTAAGCAAATTAAGACATAGTCCCTGCCATTCAGGAAGCATGTACGAGATAACAGAGAAATATCATTTGCAAAAAGAAGGAACAAAAACAAAAACCGTACGGAAGTCACAGGAAACGGAACGACAGCCTAAAGGAGTAGGGGCCAAGAGAGCAACGCTAAAATGACAGAAAAGATCACATGTGCCTCCAAACTCTTGACTAGTATAATTTTTTCCTTACATTTCTGGTACGTGCTTGCAATCCATATATATATTTGTTACTCACATCAGGTAGGCCGCAAAAAGTTTGTAACTATGGTGATGCTAATCATGACCTACTCAAGGTTTCACCAAGATCAATGACTTCTTTACAGCCTTCTATGTCAACTTCCGCTACCGAGAACCCCCCCCCTCCTCATTTGTGGGCCGGGAAGTTCAACAGCTATCTACCTGCAGGGATCCACATCCCCACACTGGCTCGCACGGCCCGCAGCCCAGCACCCTGAAAATCCCTTCCTGTAGCCCAGCAGGCACCGCCTCCGGAAAGCCGCCAAGTGGGCCCCGTTCAGACGCGCGAGAAGCGGAGCCGTGGGAAGGCAACGCAGCTCGGGAGGGCCTCCCTCGGGGCTCCAGACAGCGCACCTGTCTCTCCCCGGACCCCCGCAGCCGCCCGAGTCCCGAGGTTCCGCCGATTCTTTGTTAAGCAAGGCCGTGGTTCCTCCGCCCTCGCCAGGCCCCAGTTACCTCCCGTGCCCCCGGGGCTGGTGGTTCCGCGCCCGGAAAGTCCTTCACACAAACCTGCTGCTGCGGCTCCTGATGCAGCTGCGACTACAGTCGGCGCGAAAGAACCCCACGGCCCCGTGTACGCGCAGAGCCGAGCCGCGTCCAGCCGCGCTCCTCCTCCGCCCCCTTCGCCGCCGCCTCACGGCCCGTTGCTGACTAGAGGGGGAGGGGGAGGCGCATCGGACATGCGCGCTGAGGAGGGCGCGAGCCGAAGGGTGTGGCTTGGGGGCTACGGCTGCCGAAAGGCGCCAATTACGCCCGCCCTTCAGACCCCGGAACACATCATAGGCGCGTCACACACGCTCTGCACCCTGGGTTGGTGCCTCACGTTAGAGTAGATCTGGGCAGGCCGGTGGTGGCGCACGCCTCTAGTCCCGGCACTCGGGGCCAGAGGCAGGCGGATCTCTGAATTTAAGGCCAGCCTGGTCTACAGAGAGGGTTCCAGGACAGCCATGGCTGCACAGAGAAATCCTGTCCCCCCCCAAAAAAAAAACAAACAAAAAAATAGATCTGTGATGAAGAGAGCGGAAGTGACAAGGAACTGCCCAAAAAACCCGAGATAAAAGGGTGTTGGCCAGAAACCCTGTTTACGTAAGGCTGTCGACCCTCCCTGAGCTCCTGCCTCTCGTAAAAAATGACACGGGCAACATTTCCCCTCACGCCTCTGACCGCATGGTCCCGTAGAGTATGGCCACCTTTAGCTTCCGGAGCGCCCAGATCCAAGTGACGTCAACCTGACGGAACCCAACTGGAGAAACCCAGCCTCCGATAGCAGCGCACTTCCAGGCCCAGGGCCGGCGAGGGTTACGTAACTTTCCCAGCCGCCCAACCTCGCCTTACGCGGTCCTTAAGGCGGCGCCCCGCCCCCACGCCGCGCGCAGGCGCAGACCAGCCGTACGCATTCTACGTAACGGACGATGAAGCTACGTGAATTGTAGGGTGCTGTGACTGAGCTACCTGTCCTGGTCTGTGTCCCAGTGTCATCGCGGCCCTCAAAAATTTTTGCGACCTGAAGGAGAAGGCCAGACCCAGGCAGGCTGGGTGGAGGTGGTGGCCTCAGAAGCCCCGGGCCGGGTTGCAGCCTCGGGTACAGGTAGGTAGCGGGCCATGACATGCCAGTCGGTGTGGCCGAGCCAGGCCGAGCGGTGACTAAGTTGTGTGGCCGCAGAGCCTACTGTTTCTCATCTAACTAACCCTTTATGTCCGGCTGGTGGTGACATATATCAATCCCCGCAACTTATCTCTCCCGAATTAAAGAAAAAAAAATTAAACCTCTGTCCAACCTTTTCTGGTCCATTTTTTGTTGGACGTCAGGAGGGTTTGGGGTTATATTCGTGGTTTTGAGCAAATTCCAACTCAGCAGGACAAAAATCTGAGAAAATTTCTGGTGTGCAGCCAGAAGAATGGAGCATAGACACTAGGTTTCTCCATGGTGGTGGAGGCAGGACCGAGAGGTTTGACAGACGCGACCTCTAATAGAGTCGACCTTAGCTGAAGGTTTCCAACATACAACTTGTTTGGAATGTGTACATCATTTCTAGAAGTTTCGTCGTTCTCACTAATGCGGCGAAGACCTGAAAGGAAGAGCAATGATTGCTTCACTTACTCGTTTTTTAAGTTTGGAGTCAAGCAATTGAGCTTGCCAAAGATAAGAAGACAGGCATGTTAATGCTTGTGCATGGCCTGGATTCTTGTGTTTTCTGTCTCAGAAGTCCAATAGGCTGGGTGACCTGGCAGAAAGTTGTGCATTTGAGAAATGGGTTGACAGGTGCAGCTGACTCTTGTTAGAAGAGAAGCCAGTGGCAAATGTCTTGGATAATTTTAACTTAAATAACCTTGAGGGAGCCTGGTTGTATGAATTGCATTAGGGATATACGTGTGTTGCGAACATTCCGAGTATAGATTCAGCTTGAAATGACTCGAAAACTTTTGGGAGTCTATTAATGGAGCTGATAATGATAAGGAGTTTCTTATGCTTTGAAAGGGGTACCCTAAAGCACAGCTTTTTGATGTTTTGGGACAGTGTCTCACTCTTGCAAGCTGGCTTAAAACTCACATGTAAGGCAGGGCAGGCCGGTGGAACTCAGGGTAGTCCTTTAACGAGGTGCTGGGTTACAGAACTGAGCCAGTACACCCTGCTGCTCTTTTGTTTTTTTATTTTTTGAGACAGGGTTTCCCTGTAGCTTTGGAGCCTGTCCTGGAACTTGCTGGCCTCGAACTCACAGAGATCCACCTGTCTCTGCCTCCTGAGTGCTGGGATCAAAGTGTGCACCACCACTGCCTGGCTTTTTTTCCCTTTTTACAAAGGGCATCTGCCTGCCTCTGACTCCAGAGTACTGAGATTAAAGGCCTGTACCTCTTCCTACCAGCCCTGTCGAGCTTTTGAGACTGTGTCTCATGAAGCCTGGACAGACCAGGAACTCACTATGTAGAGAAGAATGCCTTGAACTTTGATTCCCCCTGCCTCAGGATCCCAAGAACTTAGACTATAGGAGTGTACCACCACACCCAACTTTATATGGTGCTAGTATCATCCCAAGTACTCTGCCATCTATAACTGAGTTACATACCCAGCCTCCCTTGTAACGTTTTAAAAATTACATTCATTCATTCATTTGGGTCAGAAAAGCAGGAGGTATACCACCGCGTGGACGTAGAGGTCAGAAGACAACATAGGAGACTTAGTTTTATCCTTCCACCATTTGGAGCCCAAGGGTAAAACTTGGTCTTTAGGCTTGTTGGCACGTGCCTTCATCCACTGAGCCATCTAATCATCAGCCCAGCCCTTTTGTAACAATTTTTAACAAAATATGGTTTGGTGTTAAACCCATAATTAGTCATCAATAGTAATATTCTCACACATATCTGTCCTTTAGGCTGAATGTCTATGGTTAAAAATAGTTGTTGGGTTTTTTTGTTTTTTTTTTTTTTTTCCAGATAACTAAAGATATAGGGCTGGTGTTTAGATGAAGGGGCAGAATTGATTTTGGTAGAAATGATTTTGTTGGTTGAATTTTTTTTACATTGTCTTCTGAAGTTTCATGTAAAATTAGTACTCTTTCTTTGGATGATCCCATTCTATCATTTATTAGTTACATTGATTGATATCTCCATTGCATCTTCGTTGTGTATTAAAGTATCCACACTTGTGATGATCATGAAGATGTTTGTCTAGGGCAAACACATACATACACACAGTTGATCTGTAGGTAAATGGCTTTCTTTTTTAGTGTTGAGGATGAAGCCAACAACCTTCTTCAGAAGAATGACTACAAGCACTATGCTGCCAAGCCTCATCTCAGTCCTGGTGATTTTTATTTATGGATTATTTTGTAACCATTTATATGTAAATGGTTGCATCTTATTACTCCTCTGAACTCCTTAGTTCTTTTAGAAAGGTTTTAATAGTCTCTCAAAAATACTTTTTTTTTGGGGGGGGAAGCTTATAGAATATATAATATAAACAGAGAGGATTTTGGAGAATCAAACTTAAAGAGATTAATAAGTCGTAGCTGGGTGGTGGTGGTGTACTCCTTTGATCCCATCACAGGGGAGACAGAGGCGGTAGATCTCTGTAAATTCAAGGCCAATCTGATCTACAAATCGAGTTCCAGGACAGCCAGGGCTGTCAACACCAAGAAACCCTGTCTCAAACATACAAAACCAATAATAATAATAACTTGTACATATATTTACAGATAACTGCTGACAGTATCTTGATAGGCACCAAACCTCTTGGCCTTACCTCACTGAGGAAGAGAAACTCAGGAGGCATTTATGAGGTTTTTGTTTGGTTCTTTAAGACAGGAGGTCTCCTTGTAACAGCCCAGGCTGTCCTTTAACTCTATCTGTAGATCAGGCTGGTCGTGAACTCGAAGAGATCCACCTGCCTCTCTGCCTCCAGAGTGCTGGGATTAAAGACATGCACCACTACCACCACCTCCCAGTGATTGTTATGTTTTTTTAATTAAGGGTCAACCTGTAGGTTGGTCTGGCCTTGAGCTCAGTATGTAGCCAAGGCTGGCCATGGACTTCTGATCCTCTTTCTGCCTCTCAAGTCCTGGGATTTGTACCAGCTAGGTATGTACCACCATACCTAGCTGGTTTGTAGATTACTAACAATTAGCAAAATATGTTAATCATGTATGTGGAATAGCAGTTCACTGAACACACACTCTCATCTTTCACAGCTTATTTTTAAGACGCAATGAAAGCCTTCTATGTTCTCTGTGCTGTGCTTTTGGTGTTCGGGAGTGTCTCTGAAGCCAAGTTTGATGATTTTGAGGATGAGGAAGACCTAGTAGAGTATGATGATAATGATTTCGCTGAGTTTGAGGATGTCATGGAAGATTCTGTTACGGAATCTCCTCAGCGAGTGATAACCACTGAAGATGATGAAGATGAGACCACTGTGGAGTTGGAAGGGCAGGATGAAAACCAAGAAGGAGATTTTGAAGATGCAGATACCCAGGTAGGGTTTTTGTTTAAGATTTATTTATTTATTTATTTATTTAGTTAGTTAGTTAGTTAGTTAGTTAGTTGGTTTTTGGAGACAGGGTTTCACTGTGTAGCACTGTTTGTCCCGAAACCCACTCTATAGATCAGGCTGGCCTCAAACTCAAAAAGATTCACCTGCCTCTGCCACTCTAGTGCTAAGATCAAAGGTGTACACCATCACTACCCAGCTAAGCTCTTCTAAATATCTTGTGGTGTGTTCCTACCTTGATAAGCATTGTATTTCTGTAGTTACTGTAGTAGATAAAATCTGAACTGAGGATAATGTATGAATGAGAATTTAGAACTTTGGGTTTAAAAGTGGCATCATTCTTTTGGTGTTTTGTCTCATTTTTGAAGTTTGTAACAATAGTATTCTTTCATGCTATATAGTATCTCATTTTGTTTATTTTTTGAGAAAAGGTCTTATGTGTTTTCTTTTTCTTCTTACCATATTTTACTATGTGTGCATGCTGAAGAATTAAATTAATAATCAGACTAACATATTCATCCCCCCCCCAAAGTTTTTTATGTGTAGTATGAAGTGGTGAGAAAACATGGACAAGGTTTTTTATTCTATTAGAAAAAAAAAGGTTTTTTGGGTTTTTTTGTTTTGTTTTGTTTTGTTTTTGAGGCAGTTCTTAGTGTATATTCCTGGCTGTCCTGGAACTTGCTATGTAGACAAGGTTGGCCTGAAAATCACTGAGATCCACTTGCGTCCCAAGTGCTGGGACAAAATGTACTTGTCACTGCACCTGGCTCTCTTATTGAATCTTAAATATGAACCGCATTATTAAATGTCATTACCACATATGTTCACTTTCTGGAACTTAACTTATACCTCAAAGTTTGGTATTTTGCTAAAAGTGTTTTGTGTCTCTGTGTTCTGTACTTGTTGCTTACTGGCTATGTTTTCCCATACAAATGTTACCCACAAAGTGAGACACAGCTGCTGGCGCATTTGTAGACGTGCCTGTATTTTGTTTTTATTGGAGGGAGATACTGAAAGTGAGCCATATGATGATGAAGAATTTGAGGGTTATGAAGACAAGCCAGATACCTCTTCTAGCAAAAATAAAGACCCAATAACCATCGTTGATGTAAGTATATAAGATTCTGAATTCCAAAGCAATAAATTATTAATACCATGACAAAAGGTGAGTGTTGGAATAATAGTGCAAGCCAAAGAAGAGCTTAACATGAACTCTGACAAACACCCATTGCTGTGAAGCAACTCCCATATTGTAGTCTAATCCTCCTAATGTCACTTAATTCAAGTAGTGTAAGGTGGGTGATATTGGAAACACTCTGGAAAGTGACTCTGTACAAATCAAGTGCCAGGACAGCTAGGGCTACAGAACCCTATCTTGGAACAAACAAACAAAAACCACCAAAACAAAATAAATAAAAAGCTGACCTAGAGGATCAAAATGGGCATATTTTTTGAAGTATAACTTTTTGTTGTTTAAAATATTTTATTTTATGTATAGGAGTGTCTTGTCTGCATTCATGTTAAGTGTATCATGTATGCCTGTTGTCCTTGGAGGCCAGAGAAAGTATCAGGTCCCCTGGAACTTAGAGATGGTTATAAGCTACCATATGGATACTGGGGACCAAACCTGTGTCCTCTGCAAGAGTAGCCAGTACTTCTAACCCATTGAGTCTTCTGTCTAGCCACTATGGTGTAAATTTTTTTTTAGTGACAGTAATATAAAGTGTTCATTGTCTTTGGGTTTTCTCATCTTTTTTCATCCATTATTTGGACTCCATGGTCAGTCTCAGCCAACATTAAATGGGACTTTTTCCTTCTTAAGGTTCCTGCACATCTCCAGAACAGCTGGGAGAGTTACTATCTAGAGATCCTGATGGTGACTGGTCTGCTTGCCTATATCATGAACTACATCATTGGGAAGAATAAGAATAGCCGACTTGCTCAGGCCTGGTTTAATTCTCATAGAGAGCTTTTGGAGAGCAATTTTACCTTAGTGGGTAAGTCACGTTGATATGAGTCCAGTGGCTGTCTGGAAACAGTCTGGTAAGAACAGTTAGTCCCCTCAGCAGAAATATTTAAATGGTTTCGCTGAGTGCTGACTACAATGCATTTGTTTTTTTCAAGTAATCTATTTTGTTGTATTTTATATATAAGTAAATTAAATATATATATATATAAGCTCTTATTTTTTTTTACTAGTCAACAATATAATTACTAGTCTAAAGACAAGATGTTAAATTTAGGTTGCAAAAAGAAACTTTGTCACTTTAGATAGTTTGATAAATAATTTTAGTTCAATATTTAATTTAGAACTGGGAAAATGCTTACAATTTAAATTTTAGGTACTTTGATTTTACTTCCAGAGATATACACGAGGTCTATAGAGTAGCTAGCTATGCAGTGTGGACTGTGAGGTTAAACTCCCTTAACCCTCACTTAGCACTTTATTTCTCCTTAGTAATACCTCCCTGATGCACATGTTAGTGTGTACTTTGCATGCATTGTTTTGGTTTTGGTTATTTTAATCAATTTGTTATTAATTTATTATTGGAGTTGTCAGGAATGCTTGTGACAGAGCATAAGCAGGGAAAACAACTTGTGTGAATCAGATCTCCTACCACATGTGGGTCCTGGATTCAGGCCATTAGGCTTGGTAGCCAGGGCCTTCACCAGCTGAGCCATCTTACTGGTCCATTATGTAGTCCTGAGCAGCCTCTGCCTCCCTAGTGCTGGAATTAAAGGCATGCACTACTAAATTAGGCCTCACGTTTATTTATTTATTTTTTTCCTGTCACACATTGGTTTTTAATTGCGTTTTGTTGCAACACTGTTAATTGGACATACTTTTTATTTTTGTTAGGAAGCCAATGTTACAGCTTAATCTAAGGGGCTAAATTGTAACCATATTATTAGAACTATCTACCTATTTACCAGTTGATGTTCTCTTCCCTGTTCCATAGCTTTTAGGGTGTTTTTTTGATCAGGGAACTTGGGGTGGGGATGGTGGGGAAGCATTCTTTAGCTTATTGCCTCCTCTTCTTCATGCCAGAGCCCATAACTTTTTTTATGGAGACAATAAAGAGTTGTAAAAGTAAAGAGGAGTCCCACCTCTACTACCCTGTGCAGCAACCCTGAGCACGCATCACACTTGGCCTAGCAGATGACAAGAGCCTGCCTGTATCCTTGACGCCACCATCCTGGTGCCTGCTGTGTACTGGTGGCAGTGGCAGATACCATTCTCTGAGCTCTGTGCATAAACTCACAAAGAAACACGAATATCGGATAGCAACACAAAATGGCAGAACATGGAAATCGGTACTTTTGAACAGGAAATTTTGGGAGTTTTTTACTGTAGTCTGCCCGAAGTTGGTATAAAATTGAAATAAAATAATGCTTTTGGTGATTTCTAATGTGTGGAAACTGCCACTGAACTCTACTCTGTCAGAAGTAATTGGAATTAATGAAGCTCATACAGAAAATCCAGACCTTATATTAAAAATCTTGTTATGAAGATGGCTGTCTGAGAGTTGACACTGAGCATGTCTTCAAGACTAGATGAATTAATGTGTGAAGAAGCAGATGGTAAAGTTATATACATCAAATCTATCGAGGCATGAAACTTTTAAAATGATACCGAAGTAAAAGACACAGTGCCGGTCCTTTAATCCCTTTCAAAGGAGATTCTGTGAGGTGGCAAAGCATTGCTGTCCTAAAGTGACCCAAAAGTTCAGTGAGTCAGATTCAGTGCTTTTACTCCTAGGGGATGATGGGACTAACAAAGAGGCCACAAGCACAGGAAAGTTGAATCAGGAGAACGAACACATCTATAACCTGTGGTGTTCGGGCCGAGTGTGCTGTGAAGGCATGCTTATCCAGCTGAGGGTAAGTAGGGAACGTCTGCTCCGAAATGTATCTTCCCTTAATTGTTTTTAGTGTGACTGCTAATATAAGTTTAGTGCTTCTGTCCTCCTGTGATTTAAAATGAAGCGTGAGTACTGTATTTCTAGGAGCTGGCAAATGAAGCATTTGAGACCCCTCCGAGGCCCTGCTGTAAGTGTAAGCTGGAAGGTATTGACCCATTTCTCTCATTTTTTTCAGTTCCTTAAGAGGCAAGACTTGCTTAATGTCCTGGCCCGGATGATGAGGCCAGTGAGTGATCAAGTGGTATGTATTCTTGCTGGTTTTCTTGGTATAAACTGAATTATTTTCTTAGCTATTCTGTTTCTGTCCGGGTTGTGTTGTGCTTTTCTATCTAAGCAGATCATCATCTTTTCTCAGTGTTTTACCGGTGGGAGGCCTCCACTTGCTTTTTGCAGGGAAGGAGATAATGTCCGTCACCATTGGTAGTGGCTGAGTTGTCCTTATTGGAGAGAACAGTTGCTCCTCTAGGATGCCCTGGTGTCCTAGAGGTACATGCATGCCAGAGTATACGTGTGGAGGTCAGAGACAGCTTTTGGGAGTTAGTTCTCTCCTGGGGTCCTGGGATCAAATTCAGGCCTTTAGGGTTGCATTGCAAGTAGCACAGTTTAAGCTGTTTTAGGGTATATTTAAAATATCAAATGATAAATTTTGGTTGAAAGAGCTCATATCAGAGTCTAGGTTATTGGGTATAATGTCTTTGATTTATTAATTAATATTAATCAGCAAGTTGTACCCTCTGTCTAAAGAGTTCCCTGTCTCTATCCCAAACAGATACCACAGACAGGATTGCTATTGTTTGTTTTTTTTCCTTCTGGATTCTGTAATTTCCTGTAAATACGAAAGAACAGAACTCTTTTTTTCTGTTTAAATATAGCTGCCTTTTACTAGGTCTTTCCTTATATTAGCTTCACCCCCTTTTTAAAAAAAAACATTTAAAATTTTTATGTGTGTGTGTGTGTTACCTGCATGTATGTCTATGTACTACATGTATGTCCAAGGAGGTCAGAAAAGGGTGTTGGTTACTAGAGTTATAGATGTTTATGAATTAACTACTATGTGGGTGCTGGGAACTGAACCTGTGTCCTCTGCAAGAGCAGCAAGTACTCCTAACCATTGAGTCATTTATTTCCAACCCCACATTTCCCTTCTTCCACATACTAAGAATTTGGCCTAACAATTAAGGAATACAATTGGTATATCTAGAACCATATTTTATTGTATCAGACTTCTTAGGCTTATAACATTGCCTGTTCCAATGCAGAATATTAAGAATTACTTACTGGTATAGGGATGTTTTCTAACAATGGCCAGTTCTTGGATTCTCTAGATTCCAGCTAGGACCCAACAGTTCAGTTCTGACACTGCCAGCAATTAGCTTCAGGTTCCATAGATTGAAGGGTTTAGGCCTCCCATTGCCCCTATTTCTGAGGAAATTTCAAATTCTAGGCCACCCAATCCATGTACACATTTGGCTGATCACCTATGAATTAAGGGTTTCCATCACCTTCTTCCAGATTTAATAATTTATTAGATGATTCACAGAATTCAAGAAAAACCTTTGTTTATATTTACTCACTTATTAAGGACATAACTCTCAGCCATAGCCAAAGAAAAAAAGAGGGATGCCCATCATGGTGTCGCACACCTTTACTTCCAGACGTGAGTCAGAGGCAGGTGGATCTCTGTGAGTTCCAAGCCAGCCTGATCTACATATTGAGCTCCAGTCTGGCTAGAGCTTCACAGTGAGACACTGTCAAAAAAGGGAAGGAGTTATGTAGAGATTCTTTACTTTCTCCAAGCATGCTACCCTTTTACCAAATTCATAAGTTCACAAATATGGAGGCTCTCTGAACAAATATGGTCAAGGGTTTCTGTAAAACAAAGCTCATACTCCTTCCCACAAGGTCCTTGAGTAGAGCTGAAAGTTTCAGCCCTCAGATTTGTTTTATCTTACAATCAGCCCCATTCCTGAAGCCTCATGGAGCCCTTACATTAGCACCAAATCAGATTGATTAAAAGGGGTTCCTGATAAATAATGAAGCATGCTGGAGGTTTTAGCTTGGTGCCAGGAACCTGAAGCAAAACCCAGATATAATTCTTATAGTTTTGATTGTAAGCCTAGCCTTTAACGTTGAGCCATCTCTGTACCCCCCCCCCCCAGATATAATCCTTATATCCACTGAGTCCTGATTACTGCTGGCTTTTACTTGATTACTCAGTATGAACCTATATTAGTGTTGTGTTTCTTTATAACGAATTGCCACAGTACTGAACAGCTTAAAAACAGTAGCATTTGGGACTCAAGAAATGGTTCAGCAATTGGGAGCAGTGGCTGCTTTTCTAGAGTATGTAGGCATGATTCCCAGGAGCAACACCCAGCCCATAACCACCTGTAACTCTAGTTCTAGGGTATCCAGGGCCCTCTTCCAGCCTCCAGGGATGCTGCACACACGTGGTGTACAGATATGCATGCAGGCAAACACCCATACACATAGGTTAGAAATAAATCTGTCGCTGTATAGACCAGGCTGGCCCCTAACTCACAAAGATCTGCCTGCTGGGATTGAAGGCATACATCCCCATGCCCAGCAAAATTTAAAAAAAAAAAAAAAAAAATTGAGACTCTGTTTCAAAAATAAAGGCAAAACAAATTAAAAAAAAAAAATCCAATACAATTTATTATCTCACAGTATCAGTGCATGAGTGGTCCAGTGTAGCTGGTGTGTTCTACTTAGATCTATAAGTCTGAAAACAGTGTAAGTCAGACTCACTGTGTTTCCTTCTTTACAGGCTCATTCAGATTTTTGTCAGAATTCAGTCTCTTGTATATTTTCTCCATACCTGCCAACTGGGAATTAACTCAGGTCCTGGAGGCATTACCCTCAGGTCCTTATAACCCATCCCTTGATGATCACATTTGCTCTAAAGATTTTCTTCTTCAGCTAGGGCCCAGTTATTTAATACCTTGCTAGATTATGTGTTGTACCCATGACAATGCCCCTTTTTGTTAATGTAAATCAACAGATTAGGAGTCTTCTGTCATTATATCCATGAATCTTGCTTAATGGGAGAATGTATATAGCAGAAGGCTGAACTCTTCAGGGTCATTTAGAAATCTACCCATCATAGAACCTAACAAGTAAGTCTTGTTTTCACTTCTTTTTAAAGCAAATAAAAGTAACCATGAATGATGAGGATATGGATACGTATGTGTTTGCTGTTGGCACTCGAAAAGCTTTGGTGCGACTTCAGAAAGAGATGCAGGATCTGGTATGTCACATTGCCTTGCTCTAATGTAAATGTATATAGATAGACACTGCCTCTTTATCACAAAGAGGTTCAGCTCTCCCGCACAGCACAGTTCTATCACTTGGATGTTAAGGACCACTTCAAAATTGGTAAGACTCGCCTAGGCTTTTAGAAAAATCTGTATAATAAAATACCATGTTTCATGGGTTTTTGTTTTTGTTTTTTTTTTTTTTTTTATTCTTCCAGAGTGAGTTTTGTAGTGATAAACCTAAGTCTGGAGCAAAATATGGACTGCCAGACTCTTTGGCCATCCTGTCAGAAATGGGAGAAGTTACAGAGGGGATGATGGATACGAAGGTAAATACAGTAGAAGACCATGTTCAGTCATGCACATCTGTAATGGCAGCTACTCTGGAGGTTGAGGCAAGCGGATCATGAGTTCCAGACCAGGCTGGGTGGTATAGCTAGAGACTGTCTCCAAAAGAATAAATAAATAAAAATCATATACTAAATTTTATCTTACTCTTTTTTGAAACAATAGGTAACTAATCTGTGACTATAGCTCATTCATGGTAAACATTTTCTGTGATACTTAGTTATCTAACTGATTTTGATCAATTGGGTAAACACAGCCATTGCTTGTTCTAGAAACAGTAACAAGGCAATGCCATTTTAATGAGGCACTGGCCCCTCTCATGTTGAGAGGGTAGTCTCCTTGAAGCTGAGACAGGTTCCCTACTTGTCAGACCTGAGTCGGTGATCTCTCACTAGCTTTGGGTCAGCTGATTCTTTGGGTTTCCCCATTATGGTCTTGACTCCTTTGTTCATAATATCGCTCCTGCCTCACTTCGATTATACTCCAGGAGCTTGGCCCACTGGTTAGTTGTCGATTTCTGCATCTGCTTCCATCTGTTTCTGGGGTTGTGGATTGTAGGCTGGTTATCTTTTGCTTTATGTACCAGTTTACACTCCCACCGGCAAAGAAAGAATGTTCCCCTTTCTGCAAATCTTCTCCAGCATAAGCTGTCATTGGTGTTTCTGATCTTAGTCATTCTGATCAATGTAAGATGGAATCTCAGAGTGGTTTTGATTTGCATTTCCCTGATGACTAAGGTTGTTGAGCATTTCCTTATGCGTCTTTCCACCATTTGAGATTGTTCTGTTGAGAATTCTCTTGTTTAGATCTGTACCTTTTTTTTTTTTTTTTTTTTTTTTTTTTTTAATTTATTTATTTATTTTTGGCTTTTCGAGACAGGGTTTCTCTGTATTGCTTTGGAGCCTGTCCTGGAACTAGCTCTTTAGACCAGGCTGGCCTCGAACTCAACAGAGATTCGCCTGCCTCTGCCTCCCAAGTGCTGAGATTAAAGGTGTGTACCACCAACGCTCAGCCTGTACTCCATTTTTTATTTGGTATTATTTGGTAGTTTGATTTCTAGTTTCTTGAGTTTTTTGTATATTTTTTAGAGATCAGCCCTCTGTCAGATGTGGGGTTAGTGAACATCTTTTCCCATTCTGTAGGGAGCTGTTTTATCTTGTTGACCGTGTTCTTCGCTTTATAGAAGCTTCTCAGATTTAGGAGGTCCCATTTATTAATTGTTGCTCTCAGTGTCTGTGGTACTGGTGAAAACCATGTCTTTAAGCTGAAAGTGAGGGCTGAGTTGATGACTCATTAGTTATTTTTTTTTCTTTTAAGAAAAAAGAATAACATTTTATAAAAGGATTAAAAGGTGAATATAAAAGCTTGGAATTGTACTAAACTGTAGTTAATAATTTTTGTTTTTTTCAGATGGTTCACTTTCTTACACACTATGCTGACAAGATTGAGTCTGTCCATTTTTCAGACCAGTTCTCTGGTCCAAAGATTATGCAAGAGTATGTATGAAATAAAAGTATTAAAGTTCATTTTCCTTATTGATTTTATGTTGGAATACCCCTGCAGTTTTCTTAGCAAGTGGGAAAGTAAAATTGGTAATGAATGCCCTCCTACTTAGTATATCATGAGAAGCAGCCACGGGCAGCCCTCCTGACCCAGCACATTGCAACACTGACCCAGTGGCGTTGAGAAGGGCGGGCTGGTACTAAGAAACTGCAGCTGGTACACCCTTTACCATTTCTAAATCTGTGATGTTTGGCTTTAAATATAAATCTATGTATTTTATATTTTACTGCCTTTTCTCATTTCACTTTTGAATAATGAGTGTTTTTAAATGACTTCAGTACCCATAGACTCTGGTTTTACAGCAGAATTGTTCAGGTGTACAGTATCGTAGAGGGTTTGGCTTGGATTTGTTCATTGAGTTTGCAGCCAGTCTCTGGAAAGCATAACTATGAATACTTTTGATAGAGAACAAGTTCTGACATGAATTATTAGTTACAGGCTACCCTCATAGGCTGTGGGGTTAAGTGCAACTAAAAGCCATTCTATACCACGTGTGGTGGCACAAGTCTCTGATCTAAGCTTTCAGAGCCAGGAACAGAAGGACTTGAGTTCTAGGCCCGCCTGGTTTATATAGTGAGTTCTCAGCCAGCCAGGAATACACATGAGACTCATTATCAACAACAGACATTCTGGGAGCTATGGATTCATTTCCCAATACTGGAATAAGAGTAGCAGCAACAAAAATATACTCTGGATTTACATAAGTCCTTGTGCTTAAGATGATGTTGCATCATCCTTGCCTTGTTAAACTTGGTTAACAATACCAGGGACAAAGTATTACATTATAGCTCTCATCAAGCCTTTTGTTGGAGGTGGAACAGAAGTCAGTTGTTTGACAGTAAAAATTTACAATGACAGAACAAAATTATAAACAGTACTTGCTCCAAATCCATGAGGTATTGTTGGTTGGATAACCCCCACCATACCAAATTCTCAGGATGCTGAGTTTCCTACACAAAGTGATATAGTATTTGCAGTAATATACATAGCCTTTTCCACAGGAAAGCATCTGTGGATTCTTGTAATACCTGATACAATGTAAATTCTATTAAGTAATTGTTAAACTGTATGCCTCAACTCTTGGAGAATAATGACCAAGAAAAAAGTGAAAGTTGGGAGTTGGAGAGATGACTTGTGGCTAAGGGTGTATTGCTTATGCAGAAGACCAGGAACCAGGGCTTGATTCCCAGCTCCCTCAGGAAGACTAAAAACCAGTTACAAGAGATTTGGCGCCCTTTGCTGGCCTCAGTGGGCACTGCATACATAACATACATGCAGGCAAAACACTCATACACATAAAATAAATAATAAATTCAGAAATTAAAAGCTGCAGAGAAACCTTGTCTTGGAAAAAAAAATTAAGCAAAAGTTTTAAAATATAGCCTCATATTTAAATATAGGCATATTTCTGGCTTCCTGGGTGAAAGGGAATATATCCTGCCCACTGTGAGATGTCATTGTAGGTTCCAGTGTAACACTGAGTGGCTAGAGGGCTCTCTGGTCGCCACTGACTTGGAGATATGGGGCTATTATTTCCGGGTATTTGCCCAATTGGGTCAGATGGATGGCTTGTATGCATGGAAAGTGCCTTTTTTACTTCTTTAACAGACTTCTCTTTTGTGACAGGGAGGGTCAGCCTTTGAAGCTGCCGGACACTAAGAGGACACTATTGTTTACATTTAATGGTGAGTATTCTGGGTCCCGTCTGCCTAGCTCTTAGCTTCATTGAAAATGTTTTCGAGACTGTTTTTCTTTCTGAAATAATAGCTTTAAAACTACTGCATTGCTAACCTCATTCCTGCTTGTTGATTTCTGGGCTCCTCTAAGGAGCTAGTTTGTTAGCATTAAGAAAGACTGCCAAACCAGAAATGTTAATGCTGCCATTAACTCAATAGGAAAATGGCTTTGTTTTCCAGTGCCTGGCTCAGGTAACACGTACCCAAAGGATATGGAGGCTTTGCTACCCCTGATGAACATGGTGATTTATTCTATTGACAAAGCCAAAAAGTTCCGACTCAACAGAGAAGTAAGACTCAAACCCTTTCTTACAAACAGGCACCTTTTACTGTTGGTTTTTCCCAGTGGGCAGCAGCTGGCAGTGACTGCAGCGACTGAGTCTTGGCTAGTTGATTTGAAGTGCAAAGGGGAGTAACTTACCAAAGAACGCTCAGCGGGGTGGCACTGGATTTCTTATGAAGACTTTGTTTCTTGGGGTAGGGTAAACAGAAAGCAGATAAGAACCGGGCACGAGTGGAAGAGAACTTCTTGAAGCTGACACATGTGCAGAGACAGGAGGCTGCACAGTCTAGGCGGGAGGAGAAGAAAAGAGCCGAGAAGGAGCGGATCATGAATGAGGAAGACCCTGAGAAACAGCGCAGGCTGGAGGTGAGGCACTCCCTGTTGCTCAGGCTGCTGGATTTGGCTCTGTATGGTGTTATCTTTTGAGATTATATCGTTTCCTCCTCCCCCTTTTCCTCTCTCCAAAACATCCCATGTACCTAAGTCCTTCCCCCCACCCCAGCTCTCTTTCAAATTCATGGCCTCTTTGTTGTTGTTACTGTTGTGTGTGTGTCTAAATATATAAACACAGCCTGTTCAGTGTGTATAATGTTGCTCGTTTGTATGTTTTCAGGGCTGAACATTTGGTGTTCAATAGCTAGTTGGTGTTCTCTTGCCTGGGGAAGCCTGTTTCTACTGCCCTCTGTTCTTTAGTTGCTTGTAGTTCTTTGTCTAAGGTTGAGGCTTTGTGAGAATTCCCCAAAACTATTGTTTTGTTTTTAATTATCCAGATGTGGGCTGGAGAGGTGGTTCAGAAGTTGAGATCACTGACAGCTCTTCCAAAGGACCCAGGTTCAATTCCCAGCTCACATGGCAGCTCACAACTGTCTGTAACTCCAGTTCCAGGGTATCCTGGCACCCTTACACAGATAGTCCTGCAGGCAAAATACCAATGCACATGAAAATAAATAAATCTTAATTATCCAGATTCCTATTTGTACCATACTGTCTACAACGATAATTCTATGTCGAATTGTACACAGGCTAAAAGTTTAATAAAAATTTTCAGCATTTGGGATATGTTGTCATTTGACAGCACTTTATTCCTCTTCCAAGCCATACTAAATTGAGTTTGTGCACCTGAAAAATGACTGAGTTACCCTCTTTCCCTAAAAGAGTCCCATTTCACATCAAACAGAAAAAATCAGGGACTTTAAAAGCAGCTGGTATGTACACTTTCTATTTTAAATAAATTTGTCATTAAAATTAGGGCTTGGCCTGGCTGAGGTGGTGCACACCTGTAATCCCAGCACTTGGGAGGCAGAGACAGGCAGATCCCTGTGAGTTCGAGGAAATGATCCAGAACTGGCTCCAACTACAGAGAAACCCTGTCTCAGGGAAAAAATAAAAAGAATCATTAATATGTAGTGTCTTCACTTTTTCTGTGAAGAAAGAAGGGCGTTCTCTTTTTCTATTGTTTGGGACTCAGTGACTGAAAGGAAAGGGGGCCCAGAACTTAACCTGAGTGAGCTGCTAAGTTTCTTACAAGAAGAAGAAAATGAAAAAGAATGTTTTTGTTTTTTTGTTTTTTTTTTGTTTTGTTTTTTGTTTTTAGGACAACCAGTTTATAGTACTGTCCTGGGGAACCTTAAGAAAATCCAGTAAACATGGGGAAAAAAAACAAAAAAGGTTATAAAAAGAAAAAGGTTTATTTTTGGCTGTTCTGAAAGAGGTTTTTTATTTGTTTGTTTTTTATTTTGGTTTTTCTAACAGGATCTGTTTTTGCTTGTTTTTTTTTTTTTTTCTTTTAGATTTAGTTATTATGTATGAGTGCTGTCTGCGTGTATACCTACAGGCCAGAAGAAGGCACCAGATCCAATTACAGATGGTCATAAGCCACCATGTGGGTTGCTGGGAATTGAACTCAGGACCACTTGAAGAGCAACAAAGTACTCTTAACCTGAAGATTGATTTTGTTTTATGAGACAGGGTTTTTCTGTAGACCAGGTTGACCTCAAACTCACAAAGATTCTGGTGATTTTTTTTTTTTTTTTTTAAAGATGTATTTGTGTGTGGCTTTGTATCCATGTGTGTGTGTGTGTGAGAGAGAGAGAGAGAGTGAGTATATATGTTTGTATGTACATCATTTTCTGGTGCTAGTAGAGACCAGAAATGGGCATTGGAACCCCAGGAATTGGAGTTAGCATGGTATGAGCCACCATATAGGTGCTGGGAATCAAACCTGGATCCTGTGCAAGAGTAGCAAGTGCGCTTAACCCTGAGCCATCTCTCCAGCTTCTGGGTTTTTTTTTTTAATTAATCAATTTAGGGTGTTTTGTTTTGTTTTTGAGTCATGGTTTCTCTGTGTAGCCCTTGCTGTCCTGAACTCACTCTAGACCAGGCTGGCCTCAAACTCACAGAGATCTGCCTGCCTCTATTTCCCAAATGCTGTGATTTAAAGGCATCTGATGCCACTGCCTGGCCTGTTTGTTTTTAATAATGTGTGTTTGTGGGTATGTGCATAAGAGATGCCCAAAGAGGGTGCGGGATTCCATTGGAGCTTAGTTACAGGGTTATAGGTGTTTGTACATTACCTGGTGTTGGTGCTGGGAAACAAATTCAGATCCTCTGGAAGAGCAGCAAGTATTCTTAAATACTAAGTCATTTCTTTAGTCTTAATAGCTGGTCTTAATAGCAATTTGTAGGCTAGCAATGGCTAAATAGCCTTATCTTTTAAAAAGAGGGTGGGGCTAACTTAGTGAGACCTTGTCTCAAAGAAAAGAAACAGTGCAAAACCTTGACAGTGCAGTATTAAGTTTCTGTCTATATTAAGATTCAATTATCTTTGTTTTGTTTCTTGTAATTTTTATTTGCATATGAATTGGCAATGTTTTGTTTGTCTTTTGAAACCATGTCTCATAGCATAGATTGGCTTGGTAAGTTTGGCTTCCAAGTCTAATCCTCCTGCCTGAGTCTTCCAAATGCTTGGCTTGTGGTCATGTTTATATAAGTATCTTCAAGAGTGTTCTCTGTGCAGCAAGACCATGATTTTGAATAAAAGGCCCACACCTTTAATCCTAGCACTTGGGAGGCAGAAATAGGCAGATCTCTCAAGCCAGCCTGGTTTACACAGTGACTTCCAGGACAGGGGTCCTTTCTCGAACGTCCTCCCCCAATCCTCCAAAAGGCATTTTTAGTAATAATATGGGTGAGTAAAGGTGCCCATGCAGACCTGAAGCATCCAATCACTTGGAGCTGGAGTAACAGGCAGTTGTGAGCTGCCCGGCGGCATGTCCTTGGAACAGAGCTTGGGTGTTCTACAAGAGCAACAGCATGAGCTCTAACCACTAAGCAAGTTCTCCATCCTGGGTGTTTTTCTGTGTGTGCTTAGAGCTTAATTTGGATCTTTCTTTCCTCCTCCCTCTTTCACAGGAAGCTGCTTTGAGGAGAGAACAAAAGAAGTTGGAGAAGAAGCAAATGAAAATGAAACAAATCAAAGTGAAAGCCATGTAAAGTCACCCCAGAGGTCTCCGTCCATGTCACCTGTAAGCTCTGCGTCCACAGGAAACGGGAAAAGCACGAGCCGTTTCTCCCTTAAATTTCACATAGTCCCAGTGACTGAGAGTCCTTATTTCACCCTCTCCTCTTGGTTTGGAGTTCTACAGAGGTTGTAGATACATTGAAAGGGCTTTCAGTTATTTCCTTCCAGATAATCAAATTAGTTTGATTGTTTTATAAAAGAATGGTATATAAAGTATGTAGTTTTAAAATATTTTAAAATTATAACGTGAATCATCAGTGCTTTACTTTAGTGTTTAAAGAACAATCATGAAATTTCTAGATAGGTTGTTGCTTTTTGTTTAAACTGAGCAATTGGAATAACTGTGGAGACCAACTCTAAACCAAGATCCCAAGAGTTTCTATTGGAATTGCACAATAAACATTGCTTGTTTTTTTTTTTTTTTTTTTTTTTTTCCTGTGTCCACATTAGACTTGTGAAAAAGTGGAACTTAGAACCCGGTCTGTGCAGATGGATTTCAGAGACATAATATAATATAGTGAACATTTTGTATGTGGGTGGTGTTGATGACAGTATTACAGGAGGAAATCTATAGGTGTTAGGATACTGTAAGTTCTTGGAAGATTCTAGAGGTAGGTCATACAGGAGCAGTTTCTCCTTGCCTGATACTATGAGCTAATGACAGTGTGAGTGCTGAATGGGAAGTAGTTGTATGTTTATTTTTCCTGAGTAAGAAATGCATGAAAAGTGAGCTGCTTCTCCTAGCTCAGATCACTGCTCTGTGAGGTCACAGTGGTTTTCTTGGTTGCTGCAGCCTGTTGGGTCTTCATGGTGAAGCTGTTCTCTGTCTTATGCGTGCCCCTTTCTTCTCCCTCTGCTCCTATCTGCCCACACTTGAGGCCGGTATGTCCTTTCTTGAAAAAATAGCCATCGGTATGCATACGTATGCTTTTAAAAAGTGAGCTTTCTTAAGTGATTCAGAGTTTCATCTGCCTCAACGGCGGAAGCTTAGTGCTGAGAGTCCCCCTACCTGTATAAGCATTTGGCTTGTTGAGATCTCTGCATTTTATAAATGCTTCCTACTGAGAAAGCATTTTTTTAAGTCACTGTTTGTACCAGGTAATTTTTTCTGGGATGCGACAGAGTTGGTTTTTTTTGTTTTTTTTTTTGTTTTTTGTTTTTTTTTTTTGTTGTTGTTTTTGGGAGCCGGGTGGTGGGTTTTTGTTGATGCTTTTTGTGTTCTGAGGCAGTAACCATGAGTTGCAGTAAAAACAGTGTGTACTGATGCCTTGGGAATTACATGGAGTTTTCATGTGGTTTTGTCTAGGTTAATAGAAATGTGTGCACTAGGATATGCAGGTGTATGCTTTTTAACAGTTCACAAGTTTTAAGTTATTAACACGATGCCAGGCGTTGGTGGCGCACGCCTTTAATCCCAGCACTCGGGAGGCAGAGGCAGGTGGATCTCTGTGAGTTCGAGGCCAGCCTGGTCTACAACAGCTAGCTCCAGGACAGCCCCAAAAGCCACAGAGAAACCCTGTCTCAAAAATCCAAAAAAAAAAAAAAAAAAAAAAAAAGAAAGAAAGAAAGAAAAAGAAAAAAGGAAAGAAAGAAAAAAAAGAATAACACAAAATTGAATTACTTTAAGGCCATATGATTCTAGGCTTAACATTGTTTTACAAATCTTTAAATTTTAGAATCAAAATTTATGTGCTTAGTTATCTTTTGAGTAATATAAGCTTTCTTAAAGTCCCATACATTCGGACTGTGGCAGCTAATTTTGTAATTTAAGCATTCATATGAACTACCTATGACATATATTAAAAACTGATTGACCAAATCTAAGAGTGCCGCCTTGACTTTTTGGAGTTGTCCTATAAGAATATATAAACCCAAAGGAAAGTTGCTTATCATTAATAGCACTAAAATGGTTTTCCTTCCAAAGTGTTAACCCTGAATATTCCTTTAGTTCCCACTTACACTTTTGGATACTTTATATTCTAAAGCCCTGTGCATTGCTTCAGAAAGGGTCTCACTCACTGTGTAGCCCACTTTGGCCACAGTCAAGTTCATGATTCTCTTCCCTCAGCCTCCTGGGTGCTGGGTTTAATGTGTGTGCCGTACCCAGACCACCTTAGCCACACACATTATTAATGAGCTGTTATTAGTCAGCTTTCTCCCACTGTGACATAGGAGCTGAGATAAAGTTTCAAGAAGGAAAAGATTGTTTGGGATCACAGTTCAGCTCCTGAACTTTACCCTTGTGCCCAGGGGAGACAGCTTGTGGTGGATGGATCAAGGCCATTTACCTCATAGTGACCAGGGAAGCTGTCAGATAGGAGGGACAGGGGTTCTAATGTCTAAAGAACATACCCTCAGTGACCTAACTCTGTCTACAATTTCCATCATCTACCCATAGGGCCTGCCACTGGCTCCTGGCTCAGTCTTTACCATGACATTTTGGGTGGACATTTATGATCCAAACCCTTATAGTCTTTTCCTTGGGTTAAGGCCTCTTGTTATGGGACAGTGGTCCAAGAGAGGGAAATGTTAACTGTCACACTAGAAAGAAACCATGCTTTCCAAATTCCTTTGCCTGGAGCCCTGAAATATAAAACAGACTTGGCTTCAGTGTCAGCGAAACCAAATCGCTAGGACCATAGACATGGCTCAGTGGGTAAAGGTGCCTGCCAAGCTTGATGACCTGGTTTTGATCCCCAGGATGCATGGGACTCCCACAGGTGGTCCTGTGACCTCTGCATGTGGGCCGTGGCATGTGCACCACACAAGCATGCACACACATGTACATGGTAGGTGGATAAATGAATGTAATAAAACTTTTTTGAGAAAAAATGCTAAGCTTTTTCCCTTTGGGCAAGTCACTAACTTCTTTGAGTTTATTGTGTTTATTCTTTTGTAAAACAAGTGGGAATAAATATTTTTCCTACCTGCCAGTTTATTTTAAAATTTTCTTTGTGTCTGTGTGTTTTACCTGCGTGGGTGTTTGCCTGCCACGTGTGTAGTGCCCAAGAAGGCCAGAAGAGTGTTAGAATCCCTGGGACGGGAGTTACAGGTTATGAGTTACTATGTGGGTGCTGGGCCCTGAACCCAGGACCTCTGCAACAGCAGCTAGTGCTCTTAACTGCTGAGCCATCTCTCCAGCTCATCTCACAGATAGTTTAGAAAAACTGTTTTATACTCACTTTCCAAAGGCATGGCTACTAGCAAATGGTACATCTTACTTTACATTCTTGCTTTCCTCTGTCCAGCAGACTGAAGTGGGTCCTTTTAGCTTTCTCTGACTTTGCGTGTCAGAACTGACAAGGTAGTTTTTGTTGTTTTTCTTAGAGCTGGAGGTGTGGTGGAAATAGGGGAATTGTTTATAATTCTGTTTTATTACTACCAGCAAACCTCTCTGTCAAGCACAAGATGTAGAACTCTTTTATGGAACTTGCATTCCAGTCATCCAGCAGAAGTAGGGCACCATGTTGTATAAGATCTATTGGATTTGGTGAGGAGTCAAATTCTGCACTTTCTCCTCCCAGGTTGTCCTTTCCTGCCTCATAATCTAAATGATGTTAAAGGGTATAAGAGGAGAGTTAGACCCATGGGGCAGCTCCTATTTCAAACTACTGAAACAAAAGTAAAGGTGAAAAGCCTGGCTGGGCATGGTGTCATGCTTTTAATCCTAGTTCTTAAATTTCCAGAGTTTGGTGATCAGCAGATTTGATTGCAAAAGAAAACAGGACTAAAGAGAAGGCTAGAGAGACGGTCCCACATTCAAATCTCTGCTATCTGCTCCTTATGACTCCAGCTCCAGGGGATCTGCTGCCCTCTTCTGTCCTCTGCAGGCAATTGCATTCTCATACACTCATCTGAACATGACAAAATCTTTAAACAAAGGAAGATAGCATTATGTCTCTACAAGTTCACAGCTGAATTGAGAAGAAATAAGAAAACTGTGATTTTTCTCAATGGTAGGTCGTATTGTTTGACTGCTTTGTTTTCGAGACAATGTCTCATCTGTAACCCAGACTGGCTGAAAGTGATGGCAGTGCCTCTGCCACAGCCTGGAGTGCTGGGGTGACAGGCATGTGCCACCACATCTACTTATTTTGAGAGGACTACTTGTTAAGTGTTACTTAGGCTCATTTCCAACTCATAGGCTCAGTCTGCCCAGGCCTCCCAGGCAGCGGTGTGGGGGGGTGTGGGGGTGTGTGGGGGTGAGTACTACCATGTTCACTTGCTACTGTCCTGCCTACCATTTGAAACAGGGTCCCATGTATTCCAGGCTGAATTCCAGCTTTTGATGCTCACCCTGACCTCTTTAAAGTATTCCTGTAGCTGGGTGGTGGTGGCTCACACCTTTACTCCCAGCACTCGGGAGACAGGCAGGAGGATCTCTTGTGAGTTCGAGGCCAGCCTGGTCTACAAAGCTACACAGAGAAACCTTGTCTTGAAAAAAGGAAGGAAGGAAGGAAGGAAGGAAGAGAAAGTATTTCTTTCCTTGGGAATGGTTACTGAGGAACAAAATGACACTGCCTCCACCTGTCCATTGAACTGCTGCTTTTCATATAGTTTTTTCCACTTTTCTAAGGTATTTCTAGTTAGCATACAAAATAATGGGTTTCATTATTACATGTTCATACACATAACATTGTACTTTGCTCATATTTGTTCCCACACTACTCTCCTCCCTTCATTCATATGCTAAATTTACATATTTATATAGCTTTCTCCTGTACATTTTCCTCTAACTTAGCTTGTCTCTTAGCAGAGCTAGAACTGAAGCTCTGGATTTGTGCACACTATATGTTTTTTTTTTTTTAACTACACATGCTTGAACCCAAGGCACATGCTTGATTCCTGTGTGTTGGGTGAATGCTTGATTCCTGTGTGTTGGGTGAACACTTTACTGATGAACTATACCCTCCAGCCTTCCTGTCTTAGTACTTTTAGCAAATGTGTTTCCTTCTTTTGTCTTCCTACCCCTTTTTAAAATGGCTAGGTGGAAGCTCATATTAGATAGTAAAATACAAAGAGCATAAGGTTAAAAATACTTTACAGGTAAGTAATCCTAGTCAATCTGCTCTGCACATGCACACATTTCCCTATTTCACTTGAGTATTTTTTTAAGAGTTAATTATTATCCTGCCTGCATGTATGCCTATATACCAGAAGAGGGCACCAGACTTCATTATAGATGGTTGTGAGCTACCATGGGATTGCTGGGAATTGAACTCAGGTCCTCTGGAAGAGCAGCCAGTGCTCTTAATCTCTGAGCCATCTCTCTAGCCCTTGAGTATTCTTTTAAGCAAAGAGTTCACATATGTGTTTTCATGTAGAAGCTTATGTATTTAAACAATAGAATTAAAAATACAAGTAGCCTTAAAAAAGTAAAATAAAAAATTGCAAGTAGCTGATTCAACCTGTCT